GTGACCCCAGTGTGGCAATGCAAGCTGCCCAACACCACCCTTCCCAAGCCTTTGATGCGAGCAAGGACCCAAATGCCTCTCGGACAGCATCTTTTATCGACGATGCAGTCAAGTTTATCCTGTGATATGGCCACCCCCACACTTCTCCACATCGACTCATGTCTGTACGTCACCCAATGAAAGTGGTGTCTATCAAAGGCATCCCATCCACAGTCACCCCTAGATATCTCCTGCGCAAAAACAATGTCACCATCTGCGGCCGCCAAGTCGAGGAGTTTCACGTCCTGGCCACCCAAATTCCGTTGCATCGCCCTGCCCCACCTGTGTTTTGCACACTGAGGAGGCCCGGCCTGTGACTCCACATGAGGAGAAACCTTAAGTTCACCCCCTCGAGCAGGAGCAGCGAAATCCACCCCACCATCGGCTGAAGCGTTGTCAGGCCCACGGTCAGGCGGAGTGAAACTATGGCCCGCAGGTTGTCAAAGTTCGAGCTCGAAGGCTCGCTTGGCAGTGTCCGGGGAGCATCCGGCCACTAGTGCGACAGCATCCAAATTGACCCAGCCGTTGCCCATGAGGATGACTTCGGCCTGTTGGGGCTTGGGGCTTCGGTGAGTAGCTGACCCCAATTTGTGGATTCCGCACCAAATTGTGCCGGCGCTCCAATCCATATCGTAGGCCCCTGCCTCCGTATGTTCCAACCTCAGAACAGCACCCGCCTCATCCTTTGTCTCCGTAGCGAGGGCAATGCATACACGTCTCAGCATGCTGATGTGGGCGGTCCTCGATCTCGCGGCTTTGGTCTTCATGAACGCTGCCCACATGGCCTTGTCATCCCCCGACGACTGGGTGCTGGGGAGAATGTACTTCTCCTGAGCCAAGATCTTCACCACCTTCCACATTCTGGAACGGACATCTTCAGTACAGGATTCACCCTCTCGTTGGACGAATTTCAACATTCCCACGCTGCGACGCGGGCCATAGACCGCCAACTTATCCACATCAACCAAGGCCTTAATGTCCTCCCGCTGCAGGATCACCGCCGACTCATCCTCAATGACAGCTCGCCGGGCGTCTGCCATCCAGCCGCCCACCACCAGAGTCTTCTTGTCCTCTTCGCTCAGTGAGTCACCCTGTTCTCCCGGTGCACCTCTGGCTGGCGCAGAAGGTTCAGATGAGTGATAGGGCCCACCACGATCAACATCACCCCCGACAGCACGAGAACGGCCTTGTCCAGGTAGAAGTCCGGGACCACCCGCACGTCGACGAAGATAGTCACCCCACGGATCGTGCCCATGAGCTGGATGTTGGAGTTCTTGACAATTCACCCCAGCCCCTGGGGGTGCATCCGGCGTCTTGGCGGCACTCGTCTTAACTTCCTCAAGCTGGACCTTCAGGTTCTTCACGTCCTCGGTAAGCGCCTCCACCTTGCGGGCTGCAACCTCCTGGCTCTGCTTCATGGCCATAACTTCCCGTTCATTGATTTTGGCGCGTCCTTTCAAAGAGGAAAGTTCACCCGATTGGTTAAGTTGTTTGCGCTCAACTTCTCCGAGTCTGCCATGCATTGAAGACCAGGCCTCCTTCATCTCCTGCGTGTGCAATTGCAGGAGCTGGCGTAGTTCTGCACTCGTCACCGGCTTATCCTCACTGCTGAACAACGGCCGTTTTGAAGGGCTTTCCTCCTCCGCCGCGTGTTGCGCATCATCCCCAGGCAGTGCGCCCGCACGACGTTTTCTGTTCTCAGGCTTGTGGTCCACCGCTGCCGTAGTCACTTCCGTCTTGACTTCACGTTCCCGACCTCCACCACCACCGCCACTCCCTGTAGGTCTGGTACCTTCCCTATCCACATCCATGTCCGACTCGTCAGCGACCTCGGTGGGTGACCCCACCTCGATAGGCATGTCTTCCACGAGGTCAGGTTCCGTTGCCATGATGAAGTCGTCCAAGAGGGAGACGAAGTAACTCAATCACCGAAAGCGAAGACCCCAAGCTCACCCAGAAGGTCGCCGCCACAGTCAGAGATCAAGGCCAGGAGCACCAAGTCACCCAAGCGTTCAGTCTCCCGGGCGTTGGCACAGGAGGAAGAGGCAATCTGGTCGTCAAACCTCGCAGAAGTAGAAGACAACGAGGTCCTGGCCGCCAGGATCACGACGTCGCCCTTCACGCCCACAGCTTCAGAGGGGTAATGGACAACGAAGGACTGGCCGCCAGCGTTCACAGCGACAAAGTTCACCCAAATGGAAGAGAGAGGAAAGGGGGGGACAGAAGGGGAAACGGTTTAGGGCTTGAGGTTTTAGGGTTTAGGCTTGGAGGTTTAGGGCCTCCGCCCCAAACACTCAGACTTTAAGTATCTCTTTGTCGGAAGCATGTAGCAAAACCAGCAAAGAGCGGAAGCAGCGTCATACCGCGGGCGACAAGACAGGGCGGATGGGAACACACATATGGTCCAAGTGACACAAAACACGAAATCGCAGACTAAACCCTAAAGCCGAAACGCATCTCTATACCCTAAACGTTGTAATTATCCAGAGCCTCAGAGCATTTCCTTCCCATGACATTTGCTTGCCTGATTGAAGTCTGCTCCTTGTGCAGGCTTGGGGCATGAAATGGGTAGGGCTGTGGGCTTTAAGGGTTGAGGGATGGGTACTCTGGCTATACTAGGGGTTCTGAATTTCGTCTCGGCAAGAAAACGAAATCTCCACTGCATCGAGCAACTCGTCGGCAAGCTTGTCGTAACATCGCCTTGGTGACTGCTATAGAGGTTGTACAGGGTTGAGGGCTAAGGGCTAAGGGTGTGTTTAGCAGAGGTTTAGGGCTGTTGTGCGTTCTCACATAGGATTGTGGTGACTCTTA